ATAATAATTTTTTTTTTAATAAAAACTAATCCAAATAATTCCAAATATTCGAATTTTTTATCCAAATTTTATCCAAATATTGGTCAATATCCAAATAAATTTTTGCAATTTGATATCCAAAATTTTCCAGGTTCCTGCTTGGTGATTCATGATAGATTCATAATAACTTTTCAGATCGCTTCTGATAAGTTGGTATTTTCATCCATCTTGTTCTTTCATTTTTCGCTTCCTTTTTTTTTTCTCTGGAATTAGAATCGAGAACCTGGCATACAACCTTTAGGCTTTGCTTAGTGATTCACGATACTTGTTGGATCACTTCTAGTAAGTTAAATATTAATAAATATTCTTTTTTTTTTTTTTTGTCCTTGTGTTTTTTCTTTCGCTAATACTAATTCTTTTTTTTTTTTTTCTCTAGAATTAGAACCTTCGGCCTTGGTGATTCACGATAGACTTTTCAGATAATTTCTGATAAGTTGGTATTTTCATCCATCTTGTTCTTTTATTTTTCGCTTTTTTTTTTTTTTTTCTCCAGAATTAGAATCGGGAACCTGGCATACAACCTTTGGGCTTCACTTGGTAATTCACGATACTTGTTAAATCACTTCTAGTAAGTCAGTATTTTTCTGTCATTCTTGTATTCTTCTCACCTCTTTACTTTGGATAATAATAATAATAATTTTTTTTTTTTCAGGACTTAAAATTTGGAACCTGGCCAACAACTTCGGGTTTTACTTGGTGATTCATAATAATTTATTGATTAACTTCTAGTAAGTTGAATTTTTCTTCTATTTCTTTTGCTTTTGCTTTTTTTTTCTTCCTCTGAACTTAAAATCAGGAACCTAACCAATAACCTTTGGGCTTTACTTGGTGATTCACGATAACTTTCAGATCATTTCTGGTAAGTTAGTAGTTTTTTTTGTTCTTTTCGCTTTTGATACTAATATATTTGTTTTTTTTTATAGAGAACCTAGCTAATGACCTTCAGATTTACTTGGTGATTTATAATAACTTTTAGATCATTACTAGTAAGTTGGTATTTTTCTTTCATTCTTGTGTTTCTTTATTTTCGCTTTTGATGCTTATTTATTTATTTTTATTCTCTCTGGGCTTTGAACCGGAAACATTGCCAATAACTTTCAGGCTTTACTTGGTGATTCAATAGTTATTGATCATTTTTGGTAAGTCAGTATTTTTTTTCGTTCTTTTGCTTTTTGCATTTGCTACTATTTTTTTTTTCTTTTTGCTTTTGATATTAATATTCTTTTTTTTTCTTTTCAAATTTAGAATCAGAACCTAGCCAATGACCTTTGAGCTTTACTTGTGATTCATAATTACTTATTGATTAATTTCTGGTAAGTTGGTATTTTTTTCTTCCACTTTTGTGTTCTTTTCGTTTTGATATTAATGTTCTTTTTTTTTTTTTTTTTTTTTCTCTGTGCCTTAAATCAGGAATCTGGCCAACAACCTTCGGGCTTTACTTGGTGATTCATAATAACTTTTTGGATTATTTAGGGTAAGTTAGTATTTTTTTTTTATTCTTGTGCTTGCTTTAATATTAAAACTCTTTTCTTCCTATATGGCTTGGAATCGGGACCCAGTGAACGAGCACCATAATAGAAGGATGAAAAAAATTTTGAAAAAGAAATTATATAGTACATGAAATTGTTAAAAGAGAAACGATGAAGTAGGTTATACCAAAACATAAACTTTTAAGAGAATTTAATAGAACATGAAATTGTTAAAAGAAAAACAATTGAAGTAGGTTACGTCGGTATATGAACTAGAGGACACATGAATTAATGAGGTTATATTGTTGTCAATATGATCTTGTGGTGCTATAGTGGTGTTTGGAAGCATAGTGTAGTATGAAATTTGGGGTTTTGTCATTATAGCATAACAGTTTTGTAAATTGCGCTGCTTTATTATTATTTTTTTTTTATAATAAAGTTATTTTTTTTATTATTAATAAAAAATATTAATTTGAACCAGTTTTAACTTATAAAAATAAAATTAGTTTCAAACTCTAGTAGTAATCCTGTAATCAAATTTAATTGGTCAATCACAGGTCACCATGGCGATGGGTCGCTAAAAAATAATACCCTTATTTATTTAATTGTTTATTTATTTATTATAAATAATATACAATATTAATAATTAACCTGAAAATATATTAAATGATGCATTAACTGCTGCTAGTTCAAAATCGGTAATAATTGTTGATGAATTAAGTTGAATATCATTATCTTTAGCAAAGTCATTTAAAGCTTGGAATAATCATATATAAAGTGCTTCAGATTTATTGCTTATTAAGCAATATACAAGTGGAAGAATTTAAAAATTATCGTTTGTACCTACGGGTATATGGATAGTATAAAGTTGCCAAAAAAAGACTAGATACAGTCTTGAAGGTATCATCCATAACCCAATAAGGTGCTTGTGATAGATGTTGTATATTTGTTATAGTGGTAAATAGAAGAATTTTACTTTAATCATATTCTGAATCTTCTATTAAAAACAATTCACCACTTAAGGTATAACATAATATAATTGAAATTTCAATTTCTTCAAGTATCTTGGGTTTTGACAGTATTGTATTCTTTCTAATACACTTAATTCTTATTCTGAGAGCCTCTTTTGTGGATATATAGAGCAAAAGACTTGTTGGAGTAGCAGCAATATTATGTTGAATTATTTTAGAAGGTTTATTTCGTGTATTATGAGCTTGTTGTTTAATTTAAGCAATAGTTTGTGCAATTTCACCACTAGTAGCTGAAGAACTGTATTCATGATTTCTAGATTTTTTAAGATAATGAGAATTATTTAAGAAAGTAGTAATTGCTCGAGCTTTGCAGTTTACTGATTTTTATTTATTACAACTCCAATAGTAAAAATTTTTATAGGCATATTCTTTTACGAATAGATAACCAGAGATCAGCAATTTTGGATTACCTTTTTGTAATATTACAAGTTCACAAACTTTATCAACTTCATTGCTCATATTATAGTAGTATTAAAGCTAGCAATGAAATAAACAATAATGTGAGTTTTAAAAAGACTATTATTTGTTTTTTATTTTTTTCTATTTATATAGCAATAATGTTTATTGCATAATAATAGTAACATATTGATAATTTTATTGCATAACAATAGTAACGTATTGATAATTTTTATTATATAACGATAGTAACATATTGATAATTTTTGTTAAAATATTATATATATTATAAAAAGATAATAATGAATAGATAAAATTAATGAATTTTTTTTAAATAGAAAAAAATATAATAATACTAAAAAGTTTCTTTAATTAATAAAAAAAAAAGATTAAGTAGATTAATTTTTAATTTAAGTGGAGTGGAAAAACAAAGTTTGATAAAAACTAAAGATTAAATACATGATAAATAAAGGTTAGCAAATTATACTATTGCTATATAAATTACAAGAAATTAACCTTTAACTTACATCAGCAAATTTAATAGAGTGTAATATTGCGCAATAATTTACAAAGCATAAGAACACTGTAATATTACATAATAATATTCGCAATATTGCGAAATATACAATAACAAAATATTACGTAAGATTATTACACAATATTACGCAAAAAATTACGCAATATTATGAAAAAAATTCGAAATATTTTAAAATGGATTGAGATAAATATCTATGAACGATAAGAGCAAAATAATTCGAAATAGTTTGAATTATATTAAAATTAATTAATAAAGTTAAAAATATTTAAAATTAGGCCATCAGAAAATAAAAAAGGGTGAATTATTTTGAAAAAATGCAATGATCGTAAGAAAATCAAAAAATTACATAATTAATTTACAGAATAAAGTACCCAGGGTCTTATTCGAGCAAACCAAATATAAAGAAATAATTTCAAAATATTGGAAATATACAAATTACTTAATATTATTTAGTAATTTCAAAAAATTTCGAAATGAATTACTAATATTAAGAATGAAAATATTGCACAATAATTCGAAATATTTTAAAAATTTTCAAATAAAATAAAGTTAATTAGAAAAAATAGTCATTTTATTAGCCTTGTCATAAATAAAGACGAAAATAAAATAGTTAATTTAAAAATATTCGAACTATTTCGAAAATATTAAAAATAATAAAATATATTTTAAATAGAATTTTGCTAACTATAATCGCTGGTGATATCACCGGATCACGTGATACCAAATATCATATAATTATTAACTACCGGTGATTATCACCGGATCACGTAATACAGAATATATTATTATTAACTGCCGGTGATATCACCGGATCACGTGATACTCCTTGACGATTAGTATTCTTGATATCTTCGAATAAATAATAAAACTACATTAAAAAAAAAATAACTTTTAGTCAACACATACTATTGTTATTAATAATTCTGAATCGATTTACACAAGTGCCGCAAAGAGAAAACCTGTAATTTTCAAGAATTACAGGTTTTCTCTTTGCGTCATTCATACCCACGAGCGTTGTTTCAAAAATCAAAACACCCTAAAATTGCATACATATTTCGCATGATTCAAACACGTACCCATTTAAATCATGTCCAGTTTACATATAACCAGCTCATAACCTAAAATTAGCTAACAAGTTATAATAGGTCATAGCAGATAGGCTACCACCGGGTATAACTGGATTATCCGATATTATTGCAAGATCGATTTTATATAATTTTTGAGAATTACACGAACAAAAAAAAAAAATAAATAAATAAAATTACAGTCGCGCAATAATCTTTTATAGAATGTAATGTTTTTTTTGCTCATACCTATTATACTGGAATCTAACAGCTAAATCTAAGTAAATAACCTAACCCTGACCACTAATCCAAACAACCTTCTAACCCTAACAGCAAACCTAACCTTAACAGCTACCTTAACCAAATCCTAACTGCTAACCCTAACAACAAACCTGACCATTAACCCTAATAACGAACCTAACCCTAACTATTAATCTAATGCAATGACGGTCCAGTGAAATATAGCCCACCAGCACTAACGAAATGCGACACAACATTAGTGAAATGTGGTAAGACACAGCATTAGCAAAATGCGACCCGATTCAGCAACAGCAAATGCGACCCGATTCAGCAACAGCAAATGCAACACGATTTAACAACAATATGCGATGTGGCACCAGCAAAATGAAGCTATAAGTAAACACAAACCAAGAACACCAGGAAACGATAAAAAGAAGCACATAAAATGATGAACGAAAGCATCAGGGATCGACGAAAAGAAGTACAGGAAACAACGAACTGAAAGCACCGACAAGAGGTATAGTAAACTATGAAATGAAAACACTAGCAAACGACGAAAAAAGCACTGGCAAAAAGAGGCACCAGAAAACGCTACAAAAAAAAGCTAAAAAAAAAAAAAAAATTACAGATATACTGTATATACTATATCTGATATACCCATATATGTCGATCCTCCGGTAGTCAATTTTCTTATACTGTATAAAAAAAAAAAAAAAAAAAAAAAAATTACAAATATACCATACATACTATATCTGATATATATGTATATATCGATCCTCCGGTTAATTGTAGTCAATTTTCTTATACTGCATAAAAAAAAATAATAATAAAGAATTGCCCCAAACAT